CCCTCTGCTTTAAAGTTACGTGAAGAGTAACATGAGACGTTCTGGAAAGTCTTGGAAATGGCGCTGACACAAAAGGATGGTTCGTATGTTCCGGTTTATCCTGGTTATGAAGTATCTTTCTATGATGTTGAAAGCCATGTTGAAATTAGGTCATTTTAAAAGAATTTATTAAAAGGTATTGGAAATGCAGAGCCATGGAACAAGTCGTGAGTCTTTGATGGCGAGATTTATAATGGATTTATTTAATTCTTTTTAATAGGGCTTTGCTACCATGCCAGGCACAGGTGACCCCCGCTACTCTCAGGGGCTGCTTTTATGCCCGCTGGCTGCATTACATCCTCTGGTATAGAGAACATACTCTGGAATCCTGCCTGGGCGCAGGGCTCGGGAGTGTTGTGGAGGAAGAAGGTTCTTTACCTTATGCATATTCCTATAGTACATGACTCCTCAGAGGGCTCCACTTTCTCAATTTTCCAGACTCAGTAATTAAGCGATTAACCCTGGATTTGCATGTGCACAAGCCTTGTCTTCACAGTGTTGCTCAGTATTCACTGTGGTGAACACCCATACTAGCACCCTATGTGCTAAGTCTTCATCGTATCCCCTTGGGGAAGACCACGCCAGCCATCCCTGTAAGACTCAAGAATTGGTTTTATACTTTGAGTTCTTGGTTTCTAATTTCCATCTTCAAGATATTCAAAATATGTGTATTTTTTCAACTTGTTGGGCTGGAAATGAATCCCCAGGGGGAGAGCAATCAAGACAGGGATTAAGGGAAGTGAGACCCTCATTCATTCACCAAGAACTACCTGCGCCTGGCCACTTCCTCCATGTTTCTGCAGAAACACACATTGCTCATCACCTTCCTTCCTTCTCCTCAGTTTCCATGATATTTATTTCCAGTGTTTATTTTGCTTTATTTTTATTGTGTTTTAGGTGAACGTTTTACAGCTCGTTAGTTTCTCATATAAAAATTTACACACATTGTTATGTGACCCTAGTTGCTATCCCTATAATGTGACTGCACATTCCTCCCTTCCACCCCGGATTTCCCGTGTCCGTTCAACCAGCTCCTATCCTTGCCTTCTCATCGTGCCTCCGGACGGGAGCTGCCCATTTAGTCTCGTGTATCTACTTGAACTAAGAAGCACTCTTCTCATGAGGATCATTTTATGTCTTATAGTTCAGTCTGTTCTTTGTCTGAAGAGTTGGCTTAGGGAATGGCTTCAGTTCTCCGTTAACAGAGAGTGTGGGGGCCATGTATTCTGGGGTTCCTCCAGTCTCAGTCAGACCTTTAAGTCTGGTCTTTTTACTAGAATTTGAGTTCTGCACCCCTCTTTTCTCCTGCTCCCTTAGGGACTCTGTTGTGTTCCCTGTCATGGTGGTCATTGATGGGAGCTGGGCACCGTCTGGTTCTTCTGGTCTCAGGCTGATGGAGTCTCTGGTTTATGTGGCCCCTTTTGTCTCATGGGCTAATATTTTCTTGGTGTGTTTGGTGTTCTTCATTTTCCTTTGCTCCAGGTGGGTTGGAACCAATTGATGCATCTTAGATGGCCGCTTGCTAGCTTTTAAGACCCCAGATGCCACCCACCAAAGTGGGATGCAGAACATTTTCTTAGTAAACTTTGTTATGCCAATTGACCTAGATGTCCCCTGAAACCATGGTCCCCTGACCCGCCCCTGCTACACTGTCCCTCAAAGTGTTTGGTTGTGTTCAGGAAACTTCTTAGCTTTTGGTTTAGTCCAGTGGTGCTAACTTCCCCTGTATTATGTGTTGTCCTTCTCACAGGATTATTTTTTTATGGTGATAAAAAACCGACCATGGAAACCTTGAGCTCCAATTATGAGAGTTACCAAGGGGACCATCAGAAGAACATCACGTCCTCCCTTCCTGTGGAAATGCCAGGCGTCTGTGTCACCACAGCTGCCCAGCCACATGCATCTACACCATACACTTGGCGCCATGTGGGTGACTGAACCTGCTTGGACCCGTGATCCAGCCACCAGGGGCCACCTCGGCTGGTGCAGACAGGCCTTCTAAGACAAACACAAACAGCCCTGCCCCGCCTGGCGGGCTGGGCGCGCCCTCCCGGCCCCATTTCTTTGCCCTTTCTTTATCTCCAATTATAAAGCCGCGCCGGGTTTTCTCATCAGCCACTGCCATGTCTCCAAATGGCTTTTCAGTGTCAGGCCTATCAGGAAATTAACTCATCACACAGTGACAGCTGCTAATTTTTCCCCCTTACATGTCAGATGGATCGCCTGCTGAAGTTAATAATGAATCACCAATCCCTGATTAGAAGGTGCTTCCGAAACGTATAACTGCCGTCTGAGCTAACTTTTTTCTTCATGTAAAATGATATCACCCTAGAGGAGCAGAAAACGAATTGTATTCTTCAACAAGATAGAGCAGGAGGAGGCTGCCTAAGTGAGCTGTGCACTCTCTTAAATTATGGGCCAGTATTCAGCAGTCCAATAAGTGAAAACTTACAGCTTTTAGTTTGCTAAATGAATGACCTTTCTTATTCCCCAACTCTCTTCCTACAGCCGTTTCTAAAAATTCTGCCTTAAAATTCTAAGCTGGTTTTTCAACTCTTTTTCTGCCATTTTCCAAAAATTTTTATGTTCAGGAAAACCAAAGTTTGGATAGAATGGAAAAATATGAATGTCATCCATTTGTTGTTGATTTTCCTAGTCACCTTGCTCCTTTATGGGGGGTGAGGAGGTAGGTGGGAGGTTTGGTGGGAATGCAGCAGGCCTGGGTCTTGATGGAGTCTCTACAGAGTTCCATTAGGATGACTGAGCAAAGAGGCAGAGAGGCTCCTTAGCGACTTTGAAGTCCCTATTTCTGGTGTGAGGATGTTTTGTTGTCGTTCTGTGCCGTTGAGTCAATTCTGACTCACAACAACTCTACAGGACAGAACTGCCCCATAGGGTTTCCAGGGAGTGGCTGATGGATTTGAACTGCTGACCTTTTGGTGAGCAGCCTGAGCTCTTAACCAGTTCATCACCAGGGCTCTGGTGTGAGGATGGAGCTGATAAAATGACCGTGGAATTTTCAGCACTACTCTGACACCGTCTTAGCACGTTAACTTCACTCTTGAACTTGTTGGTTCTTCAAAGGAAGCTAAGTAGTAAAAGGTAGTACAGTCTCCTTTGCACCAGGAATGCGGGTTTGTTTGCTTGTTGGGCTTGGGGTACTGTGGGAAATGTCTTGAAGGGAGCATCCTACCTCCCTCACTCCCACAGCTTAATGAGTCATGTGGCTTCATTAAGGTGACCTCACATGGCCAAGGAGCTGCTGGGTGTGCAAATGGCTAATGCACTCGGCTGCTAACTGAAAGGTTGGAGGTTGAGTCCACCCAAAGGCACCTCAGAAGAAAGGCCTGGTGATCTACTGAAAAATCAGTCACTGAAAACCCTATGGAGCACAGTTCTACTGTGATACACACAGGGTCACCAAGAGTCGGGGTCCACTAGACAGCATCTGGTTTGGTTTTTTGGTTTTGACCTGTCTAGAACTGCCTTAGAGAACCCTGGTGGTGCAGTGGTTAAGTGCTCAGCTGCTAATCGAAAGGTCGGCAGTTTGAATCAACCCAGGGTGTCTCAGAATAAAGACCTGGTATCTACTTCTGAAAAATCAGCCATTGAAAACCCGGTGGATCACAGTTGTACCCGGACACACATGGCGTCACTGTGAGTCCGGGTTTACTCAATAGCAACTGGTTTGGTTTTTAGGTTTTGACCTGGCTAGAACTGCCTTCCTCAGAACCTACTTCCTTATTTTGTGGCTCTTCCCACGCGTGGAGAGTGTTTGTGTCACGGAAGGTGAGATCTAAACCGCTTCTTCTGCTGACGGGAGCCACCAGCCTTCCACCATGCCGAGCATCCTTGGAGCCCTGTCATTTCATTGGCTGCAGCTTAATACAAACATGGCCTCCCTGGATTACAGTCTCCAGTAAACATTTCACTTGTTTAGTTTTCTGCTTCCTCTGTAAAGTCCCATCGTGTTTTCTGGTGAGAATCTCAAGGAGAGTTGCCTGACTGCTGGTCTGCCTTGCAGACAACCCATGCTTAGGAAACATCCCTTGTCCACCAAGTCAGCACCACCTCATTATACTGTACATGCATTTGCGCATGTGCTTCCATGAGCTCCCAAACACCCCAATAGCTGTGCAATGAGAGAGGAAGGAGAGGTAACATTAACCCAGCTCCATGGGTAATTACAGCATACAATCGCTTAGTGCATCTTGCGCGATACTTCTGAGCCTGGAAACACCTCTGTATGGTGTTTTTTATGCAAAGGTCTGCTCTTTTCATTGCGCATACAGTGTGATTGCTGGTTTGACATTGCAGGCTACACTGGTTTTATGAAGGATTAAATGCCACCTGGGACATATTTATCCTAAATAAATCACAAATGGTAAACTGCAGCATGTCAGTGTCAACACCCTGTACAGCAGCAGAAAGGTTAGCCCTACAGGACCCAGCACCGCCAGGAATTAGCATCCAGCGGCAAGACCTCAGGGTGCTGCGGACGGCGGAAACCATCAGGAAGAAATATTTCCATGGAAAAACATTCCTTTTTTTATGAAACATGTATGAGACGCTTGGAGAGGGCCATCATTTTGTAAAGGTCACCTTTATGCTGCTAACAAACGGGAGTTGGTCCTGTCACTGTTTGCAGGAGACAGTGTTTAAGAAGAAGTGAGGAGCCCTGCCATTTTGAAGAAACACGAGCAAGTCAGATTCAGCTAATTATGAAGCGTGGTGTCAAACTTGAAATCCTGCCTTTTGTTTTTTTGGAGGGGTGGCTGTCGAGAGGGAAGTGCCCTGGAGTGGACAGAACTCAGAGCAGGGAGGGGGCACTCAGCAAAGGGCAGCGGTCCAGCTCTCTGCGAGCTCTGCCCTGAGGTTACCTCAGGAAGGCATTCCAAAAAGCACTTGGTTTAAACAAAGAAGGTGCCATTGCCTACCCCTTCTCTCTCAGGTCCATTCTTCAGGTCTTGTAGGTACTAACTGTGACAGAAGGTGTTACTGTCAACCCGAATCAGCCAGGGCCACCCCTAAACACGCAGAAAACAGTATGAAGATGCAGAGATGCAGGCTAGAGATCAGATTCCTCTGAAATAGAAACCACCTCGTTCTGTGGTTCTCACGGTGGCCGACGGTCAGCTGCTGGAAATAAAACATCGTCATGACTGCTTTTAATGCTATAATTTTATTTAAAAGAAAACAGAAACAGAACAAAAACAATCTTGGCATTTGGGGGAGGCAGTTATTTTACAATTTTGAAAGAGAAATAAAGAGCAATTGTGTCAAGAAACAAATTACTGGAACATAAACTTGGTTCAACAGTTGCCATAAATCCACAACTAAACACAGATAACCCTGGCCAAAGCAATGGTTATAAGGTCATGTTTTTCTATTTGTTAATGTTTAATGTCGGATGTTTTGTATTGACATAAATCACAAATAAATCCTGCAAAAAATGATATCAATGTGAACATTTGTTATAAACAGCAAAATATTGATATGAACAATATCTTCCAGAATGCATATTTCATATATAGACTCTATCGCATGAAACGGACACAAAATTAGAAGCATATCAGGTTGTCTTAACCAAGGTATATTCAAAGTGAATATAAACTTCAAGGCTTTTCTTAACCACAGGCTTAAAAAGATTTCTTTTATGCAGAATGCAACCAGGGCCCAGAACACCCAAATGTCGGTGAGAGGAAACGCATACATGAAGTGAACTGGCCGCTCGCTGCCTTTGGTCTGGGACGCTGGGATCCTAAAGTTTCAAAAACAAAACAAACAAACAGAATGGAAGTTAACTGCTTCAAGACAATAAGAATTGTAGCTCAATTTTTAACCCAGTGATAGTAAAATGTTAAAACAGCTGTATGCCAGATCGCAAGAGCAGACCTGTCCCAAGCCACGAGATACAGTTTTTTTCACCACTAGGGTGCAATCTTTTGATAACCCAAATGGGAAGACATTCGTGGAAAAACAAGACAGAACAAACAGAAGAAACACAATGGCTAGACTAGCGGGAACAGGCCATTCACCAAAGAACCAAGATGGTGAGCAGAAGTCGGGGCACGCTGCCTGCAGTGCCCCCTGCGCTCCTTGTGTGTTGTCAGCTGCACGTCTCACCCCGAGGGCAGCCTGGTACGCGTCTGCAGGAGGCCACCGCGACCGGAAGGCTTCTCCAGTCAGCCCTGGGAGCGTGACTCCCTCTATGTGCTGGGTCTCCACGCCTGCCTTGGTCAGCGCGAGGAGGCTGAGCCCTACGCTTCCTGCAGTTCGGAACTTTCTCTTTGGCTCTGGATCACTGCTGCTGCTGGGGAGCTGCCCTGTGTGTAGATGACCATGCTTGTCAGCTGTTCCGCCCCCTCTGGGGCTGCGGCGTCGGTGCTCAGAGCAGCCCTGGCCTGCAAGACCTCCGGGGAGCCAGCCGTCTCGATCACTGTGTGCGAGTACAAGCCCGCCTCGTCCTGCACCCCTGGGGGCAGCTCGGTCACGATGTAGTGCGTGGCCCCCTCGGGGAAGCTGCCGCCGGATTCCTGGACCATGGCCTGGACCAGCTCCTCCGTCACGATGATCTGTGAGATCTCCCCGTCGGACTCAACCAGGTCCATGTGCTCGCCTGGCATCCGCAGGCTGCGTGCCTCTGCCTCCTGCACGATGACCTGTGAGCCCTCCTCGTTGACGATGACCTGGGTAACGCCCTCATGGATGAGCTGGTCGGCGGCAGCTGAGTCACAGACAGTGAACTGCAGCACGCCCTGGACCACCTTCTTGAAGGCCATCTGCGCTCTCTCCTGGGAGGTGAGGAGGGCCGAGGGCCGGACCACCTGGGTCACCACCTCCATGGGCTCCAGCTCGGCCGGGCTCGCCTGGGCGTCCGGGAATAGTGGGAGCTCGGGAGCCTCGGGGACGATGGGGGCGGGCAGCGCCTCCTGGCTGGGCACCTGGATCAGCACGTCCCTGTGGCCATACCTGCTCTTCTCCTCGCAGCCAGTCCGACTCTCCACCTCTCCTAGCTCGGAGACGGCACAGAGCAGTGCATCTAGCGCAGAGGAGGAGTCCGGGGGCGCAATGCCAGCCTCGGCAAGGCTCACCATTTCCTGTTTGGTCACCTGCTGTAGGACAGCCCCGCTGGTACCGAGGGACTCCTCCACATCGCTGCCTTCCATCGGGCCTCTGACCACCACCACCTGAGTCGCACCCTCTGCCAGCTGCTCCGGGAGGAGCTGGCCGGGCACCACACTGCCCACGTGCGCCCCGCTCTGACTGGTGGTGATGACCTGGCCATCCTCGCTGATGTGCAGCACCCGTGCCACCTGGCCAGCCATCGCCAGGGTCTGCAGGGTGGCGGCGGCGGTCTCCTCCACTGAGGCATCGATGGCGAACTCCCCATCGTAGCCCTGGATGATGATGACCTGCTGGACCTGCTCGGCCACTGGCACCGGCCGCTTGCTGCTCCGAAGGGGCCTGTCCTTGACGGGGGCCTCATCCGCCAGGGCAGCTGCAGTGAAGGGGCTGTCCGTCTCCACAAAGGCTGCGCCCTGCCCCTTCAGTCGGCACTCGTAGGACTTGGAGACGATGCCTATGGGAGACAGTGACCAGTTAGCACTCAGCAACATGACTTCAGGCTTAACAGTTAGACAGTTCTTCCATGGAAGCTTTGAACCTCAACAGACACTGCTGTGAACCACCAAGCCCCCAGGGGCGGCTACCGAGAGCATCCCATCAACAGTAGGTGCTTTCCTGTGCTCCTGGTCTGTCTGTCCAACTACAACCCTGACCAGCACCGTTTCCTTCCCAGTTCTGAGGGAAGCAACATGGTCACCCCCCTCAAATACCATGATTTCTAACAACAGACTCAGTAACTGGTAGCAGGTGCAGCTTAGTAAGTAGTCACATCATATCTCCTAACCCAAAGAAAATATTTTTTAATGTTCAAATACTATATCCGGTACATTTATTTATTCAACGAAAGCCTTGCACACGAAATTCAAACAACACAGGCCTCCAATAAACACAGCTGCAAGAGTTTACTGCAACAACTACGTCGCGAGCATCCACGATCTGAGGCACTAACCCAGGTGTGCAGGTAGCTACCCGCCCTGGCGTGTCCTGGAAGTGACCACATGCTGTACCCGCTGGGCCCTGGGAGCACAGACACACAGGTGGTCTCTGCCATGTGCAGATTCAGGAGTGGTGGAGACGGCAACACGAAGCATGAGCTCCGAGAGCAGGACTCCGCCTTGTTCCGCTGTGTTGACCCAAGTTCAGCAAAGTGCCTGGCGTGCAGTAAACCTCCAAGAATGTGTTTGTTGACACAGCAGTCCAGGGACAAGGGCTAGAAGGCAGGAGGAGACAGGAAAGCTGGTGATAGGGAACCCAAGGTTGAGAAGGGACAGTGCTGACATGTCGTGGGGCTGTTAACCATTGTCATAGGGCGATATGCGTACTAACTGTTTAATGAGAAACTATTTGTTCTGCAAACCTTCATCTAAGGTAGAAAAAAAAAAAAAAGAATTATCTATGTAAGATAAGGGTTTGATGGGAAGCCTAGGGGGCAGTGAGTTGAAGACAATGGTGATGGAATAATGTGGAAAAGGACAATGAGAATAGTAGCACAACTGGAAGAACATAATCGATGTCACTGAATTGTACATGTAGAAACTTTGGCTATGTATATGTTCACCAAAAAAAAAGGTCCTCCAACGTCGAGAAGGGAGAGTGGTGACAGGTTGTGGGGTGGTTAACCAATGTCACAGAACAGTATGTGTACTGTTTAATGAGAAACTATTTGTTCTGTAAACCTTCATCTAAAGTACAATAAAAAAAAAAAAGAATGTCTCTGTTAAATGACTTAACTATTACGTATGGGGATAAGTACAACAGAAACAGGAGCAATAAATTTAGGCCACAGGAAAGAATATTTAGGGAAGGTTCTAGAAAAGAAACAACTTCGGACCTTGTCTTGAGGGTTGGGAATATTCCAGCGCTCACTGGATGGGCAGGTGGAGAAGGAGCCTCTCGGCCCAAGAAAAGCCCAGGCTTGCTGGATACGAGAGGTCTGGTAACCGAGTTTCTGCTGTGGCTGAAGGCTCAGGCTGTGGGGATGAGATGGTCTGTTTGGCCTGGGCTGTTAGGCCTTACATACCAGGCAGAGGCAGTGTCTGTGGACAGAGGAACCTGGTGAATGTGTTTAAGCAGGAAGATGAAACCAACACATCTCTTTTAGAACTCTAACAGAGGGTATGGGATTCATCATCTTAAATGCTAGCCCCACATCCCTGTTGGTGAAAACATTGTGGGTGTCTTAGAAAATACCACGGTAAGCCCCTTGGACATGGACATTTGCAAAGATCAGGACAATAAAGAAAGATGGTTAAACTGCTCTGTGTGAGACAAAGAGACAGCAGAGAGAGGAACTGAGGCAGGAGAGGGGAGAGAAGAGCCGGGAGTAGGGGGGTGGGGAGGAGCCAGCGAGAGTTCCTTGGCCTGGGGGTGCTGCAGACACTGAAGAGCAGCTAGCGGTGTCCATCACCCCGGGTCCCTTGTCACCTCCCTCAACGTCACTGTGGTACGGGTCAGGGTTGGTTTGCTTGTTTTTAATAACTTGAAAGGACAAAAAACAGAACTGAAAACGATCCTTTATTTTCATGAAGAAGAGGCTGACTCTTTCAAACCGAGTTTCTATCGTCTTGTCCCATCAGTTTCCCTGTCATCATCTCCTGCCCTCCTGAATACAGTGTGTGATCTGTACTGAGTATTCCTACTTGAGTGGGCTGTGAAGACATCTCAACAGCAGCCACATTTAAAAGAATATTTTACTTTACTCTCTTTAATGCAGATCAGTTTTTTAAAAGCATACTTTATCCTTACCCTCTCCAAAAAAAGGATCAAGAATGGTTAGAAATTATGTACTACTAACATCCCATAAGAATATGGCGGACAGTTTTGCTAACCACTCTGGTGCTGTTCACGAGAAGCATTTCTTTCCATCGTTAATCTAAAAGCACCAACTCCATTCCAACAAGCACACCCTCCATGGTGACACTCTCTCACATGCGCTTCCACAGAAGCTATTACAATGCCTTTACCGGGAGCATGTCCAGGTTCATCCCCATAGGGTATGACAATGTCCCCAGTTTGAAATTATGTGTTAAGGTTTGCATGTGAACGCAAACTCCTGGGCCCATTCTGTATGTGCTGGTGTAGACTGTTAGATGTTCTGCATTGTCTTGTTCAATAATCAAAATTCACATCAAGTTATACGAATTTCTCCATGTTAACTTGCAAAGCCAGAGGGGAGCCTCACACTATGAAAGGGTAAGCTGACAGCTGAAACTAAAGGCTTCCGGGTGGCACTCGCTGGCCTGTGCAATTCACGGGGGCACCAGTTTTCTGTACACCATGTCTTTTTGGCCTCTAAAGGCTCTGATTCCTAGTGAAAAAGTAAAATATATAAATAATCCATTTCTTTTTTAAAGCAAAGATTAGGGCCAATTAACATTTATTCTTTTTCAGGGAACTCTATAGCATGAATCTTACAAAGATTGTACAGAGTCCTAGAACCTCAGGTCAAGAAAAGACCTGTGGGGTCAACCGGGATGGTCCCCTATCAGAAGAGCCTCCATTTGTCCACTCAACAGGCACTGAATCCTAGGATAAGCCTGGCCCTGAGCTGGTGCTGAAGAGCAGTAGGGGGTGAACCTGGCCTGGCCTCGCTCTCAGGGACCGACCAGAAATAACCATCTGTTCTTAAAGGTTAATTACACCTTCCAAGAGGAGAGTCCATAACGTTGATGTTTCTAGCTAAACCAGTTACCTGACTACAGCACCTCTGTGTTCTCTTGTCCCGCCCCCCCCACCTCCACCAGAGAAGGAGAACAATCGGGTACTCCTAAAGTAGGCCACCAGCCAGATCCTTGACTGCTTCCCTCAGCAACAAGCACTTTCTAAGTACCTTGCCTGACTGCCCCGTAGAGGCCCTGGACTGAGGGCTTCACCCTGGGGACACAGACCCTGAAGGGGCATGGAGACTTCCTAAAGGCTATGTATGGAGAGTGTGACAGGCATCACGCTCCAGGCCCTCAGACCCAGGGCTTTTAAATGGGTCTGCCTGAGAATGCTCCTCCATGGAGATCTCTGTCCCTTCTTCCCTGTCACAATCTCCCACTTTAGTAAAGAAAAGCATACCTTTCAACTACCCTGGACCCAGGTTAAAGTACCTAGATTCTAGAAGACAAGGATGAATCACTGTTGATATGCTTTAACGTAACCTCATGGTTACCATCTGAAGTTGAATCCTCCATAGGTCCTTCCTCCTCAGTGAGGTCAGAATTGGGCTCAGTGCATGAGCAGAACAGCCTCATACGAGGAGCACTCCTCAGAGATCCTGTTTTCATACCTCAGTGTATGCCAGTGTCAGCTGGCCGATGCTGCTGATACCTGCTCAACCTGCCATTCACTAGGACCTCTGATCTTTGTCTATTCTACTGCTACATTTTACCTCTTGCATGCTTGCAATTTCACCCCCACACCCTACTTCTCTACCCAGGAGACAGTGTCCTGCTTGCCTTCATTACATTCTGAACTTGACCCAGTTTTGTTTGTCCATTCTCTAATTTCAAGGTCATTTTCAGTCTAATCTAGCTTTTTTTTGGGGGGGGGGGAAGAAAAAGTAAGGGCTCTGGACACAAAAACAAAGCAGACAGCCTCCAAATCATTTCCCCTCCATTAATTGCAGAAGACAACATACTGCCATTGCAGTTTAAAAAAAAAAAAAAAAAAAAGCAGGAGAAACCACGGTAGTTGCAAAGAAACAACAAACATCCTATTCTTAGGTAGTCTCTGGAAGAAATGCTACATGTTTGAGCCCAAGCAATTCTGTTCTTTACTCTGCTATTGGATGGAAAATCTCTTGGGTGTAGAACTATCCTCTGAAACCTTGCAGCACTGGTAATTATGCTATTCTGAACTACTTACTGAATTTATTTGAATCCAGAGGTGGGTTAAGCCACTTCCAGACCATTAAAGTAAACTACGTGGGTAAATAGTGCTGTCACTAAGGGGTTGATGAAGCTTAACACCACCAACATCTTAACCTCAGCTCAGTGCAGCCCCAGCTCTTCCATCACAGTTCATAAATGCGGCTGCAGGTCCATCTTTTGATTCAGCAATTTAATAACTTCGAGTGCTGTCAGTACTGCTTTGAAAAATAGCACCTATAAAATGTAACAGCCTCAATCAGATTGAAAAAGATTCACCCACTGAAGATTCCTCCATTTCAGCCATAATGAATTAATGGTGAGCTATGTAGAAGTTCAAGTGTCATTTAAACTAATCTGAATCTCTACTGGAACTTTAAACTTTAAATTTACTGGGCACATCAACTTCAATTTTTGTGATCTTTCTAGTAAATATGAACTGCAGCACTCACCAATGCAAAAGCACTGGACAAGAAATTTGGAAAACAAGGACGTCTGAGGACAGGTCTTATCCTTACCTGCATGGTCAATGGCATAGCTCTATGATTCCACATCTCTTTAATGGAGCTCTGATGCCCAACATACTATCTGTATTGTACTT